AATGGATCCGCACATGCTGATCTTTCCCCCCGCAACTGCTCACCACCTCCCCTCCCCCTTAGTTAGGTGGAGCTGGCTTTGACCCTAAATTGAAACTTTAATATCGGTATGACTATATTGATGTCTTGCACTATAAGGCCTATGTCATTGCAGAAGAATTTAGCCATACTATATATTGACGCGATCGAAATCAACCTGGATTCGATACAGAGGGGCCTACGGACGCTCTAGTACTGTCTAGGTATGTTAGCTAGGCTAGGCCTGTTCTCTGTACGGTGTAGGCTTAGGGCTAGTCTAGTAGGCCTAGCCTAAACTACTACTAGGCTTCAAGGCTTAGCCTAGCTTACTTAGCCTAGGCTTGGCCTAGCTTTTTTAATATCATGAATATTGTGCCCAGGGGTACATTTATGTTTACCTGATTGATTCTAAAACATGCCATTTATTGCTGACGTGTTTGAGGCATATTATGCCATTTAAGACTACAGTTTCAGTATACAATACGCCTTTTTCACGATTCGGTAGGCATCTTGATGAAGTGATGACAAACAACCCATGATGGCCCGTTTCTTTGACCCAACTCAGTTTATCCGTAATCAACAGAAATAAGATAAGCTTCGATTTGAGGCTGAATTCTTGTCCTTATGTTATCTAAAAATTCGTATAACTCTATAACGGAGGGTCATATCACATTAATTATTTCTGGAAAAGAAAATGTTCTCAAAAGACTATTCTACAATGGAAAAAGAAAAGCCTATGTAAAGTAGTGTACTATTAAAATAGACCTATGAATTTACAGTCTGAGTAACTAATTCCTCCATGGTAGAGTAGGCCCTACTCTCGCTAGCATTGTTTTATTTACCATATGAGAGTTTCCTGTGTTAAAAACATAATTTAGGCTACTACTATATACTATACTTCTTAATAAAAACATAACGTTTAAATCAAAAACGGCTCAAAAAATTCCAGGTAAAACTGATTTTGAGTACTGTAAAAAACAAGCTTTTTTTTTCATTCATTCGCTTGGCTATAGACTGTGATCACAACATGGACGCCCTATGTTTTGTACACGTTATAACATCTCCTAAAAAAATATTTTTAGTTTGGTATTGTGTAGTTTCTATGAAATATTTAATTGAAATGATAATAACTACACTCAGTGCTCAATACAGATCAAAACAAGATCGAACACGACTGTGAATATTGTAAGTACATACATAAGCAATTGAACCGTGATAAAAGTGATAAAAATACAGTATTTTACAGTCATGATTATATTTAGAGATAAATATTTAATTATAATTTCATGAATAATGTATTTATTTAATAATGACGATTTGTCATTCAGTGTTTTTAATGAATAATGTGTTGTTTCCTATACGTACCTCGTCTTGAAAATTGACATTGCGTGCAGAAATCCTGAGTGCTGCTCTCAGTTGCTCAGCGTAGCCGAGTGCCGCAATGTGATGTAGAATACAACGACCGAACTACACAATGAACAAGGAATATGAAAACAGAGAATATACAACACATCATCTCTTTAAAAAAATATTTTTTAGGCCATTATACTTTTTATGGATTTTTCCTATAAAATTGTACAATTCATATTCAGTGTACATTGACTACTCGAACAAATACGTGACACAAATGTGAATTTTCTATGTAAAGCTCGTTTTCAGTAATTTTTAACAGGCTTTTTTGCATTCATTTGGCTTGGCTATATCATTATCACACGACATGGACGCCCTATGTTTTGTACAAGTTAATCACCATCTCCTAAAAAATATTTTTTAGCTTATGTAGTTTTTTTTATATTTCTTATTGAAATTTTAATTACTATATTCAGTGCTCAATAAAGATCAAAACAAGATCAAACATGACAATGATTGTTTTATGTAAAACTGATTTTTCAGTGATTTTCAACACCTATTTTGGTTGTGAGCTGCTTCTCTTCCTCATTCAAGGCGCAATGACTTGATATTTGCACGACAACCGTGCGGGAAATTTCAACAATAAACAATCAACATTGATCGTAAAATACAATAAAATATCATATTTATAGTGTGGATGATGATTAAGATATGTTTTAAATGTAATAAGTTGTTGTTGTTAGGTAAGAATTGATGTAGAGTGGTGTATGGTATGTTGTGTTGTTGTATTTTGTGTGTTGATGTCGTAATTGTAATGATACATAATTCTACTCACCACGTTCACGTAGTCCACAATTTCTACCGTCGCTGATTTTAAACTCTCACTGATGACATCACGTGGTGCGCTGGACAACACAATCAGATGTAATAACGGGTCGCCGCCGAACTACGAAAACAACAAAATACGATGATAACAAAACACATTCAACTATCACACATACACAAAATATCACATATAAACACAACTTAATCACATCATAATTACATTAAATAATCACAATCAATTAAATATTCAAATATTATTACAATTTAACTAACGTACTTTTTAAAGCTAATCGTTTAAAAATCGTAAATTTTATCAATTTATTTTATGAACGCTTTTCCCTATTCTTTTGCATTGAAAAATTTTATGTTAATTTAGGGTTTTGTTCAGATCATAATTTTTTAGGAATTTTGTATTTTTAACACTCTAGATATATTTCTTTTGTATAAAGGTTTGAAAAGAATATAGACAATGATATGTTTTATCCACTAGTTAAGATTTTTCTTCGTCATTAGGCCTATACCGACTTCAGAGAAAATTGCCTATTCTTTATCATTAGATACACAACTCCTGTTTATCCATTTGTTCGGAATCATATTTTTTTGGAAAAGCTTTATTTTTAAGATCATATTTGACTTTCTCTTGAGTAGAGTTTTAAAACTAATCCAAACACATATATGTTTTAATGACTAATTAACAATTTTACCTAGCTTTAAACCTATACTACTTAAAAAAAAATTGCCTATTCTTTATCATGGGATATGACTATCTCTGTTCGGAATCATAATTTTTTCGAAATATTATATTTTAAACCTCGTAACTACGTTTCTCTTGATTAGAGTTTTATAACAAATACAAAGACTTATATATTATATCGATTAATTAAACGTTTTGCAAAGCATTAGAAGCTTCAGAAAAAATCTGCCTATTCTTTATCATTAGATAGGCCTATACTTAGCCTACCTCTGTTTGGAATCATAATTTTTTCGAAATATTATATTCTAAACATCGTAACTGCCCTTCTCTTGATTAGAGTTTTATAACAAATAGACTTATATATCATATTGACTAATTGGAAAAATTACAAAAACATCTTTATATAAACTTCAGAAAAATATGTCTATTTTATCATTTGGATACAGGCCTACACATATTAACATATAATTTTGGCTGGAATAATCATTTTGTTTTGCATTTGATATTTTGTTTTTTTGAATTAAAAACTCAATTTTTTAACTTCAAGACGAATAGAATAGAATATTTCGTTATCAATTACATGGTACCGACGACAATGTAACGGAGTTACTATACAGGATGTAAGTACTATAAACAGTTGTCACTGCGTCAAAAAATCGAAATTAACGAGGGCGCTAGACTAGTATTTTTGGTTATCAGAGAGATGATCGTCGCTCGTCTGAATTTTTTACTGTGCAACCAAAATAATAGATAGTAATTTATGTTACTTCTGTATGTTTGTTTACGTATGCATGCACACATGCATTTTTCATAAGTGCTACTGTATCAAAGTGGATCCAATAAATTGATTGATTGGTTGATTGATTGACCGTGTTTTGCCCAAATTAAGAGGGGCATTAAGCCATACAATAATTTATAGCCAGACCAATTAACTTCACATTTAACTATTGTTAAATGCATGATAACTGAAAGTAAATATTTCGTGGTTAACAATTACATAGTTAGTAGAAACGTATCTTACTTTAATTATTTATATTAGGAAAAATTTCAATACAATATCAATGAATTCGTTTGATGCGCAGGTATAAATTCATGAAGATGTCTCCAGTTATTTTGTATAAGATCAATCCCACAATTCAATTTAATTTATTAAAAAAAAACCTCCGTAACGAAGAAGTAAAATAGTACAACATAACAATTTCATTAACATGGTCAATTTCATTACAAAAACCAGAAAAATTGAG